GCTGGTGTACAATGCAGTGTATAAACAGAGTGTTCGGGAGTTGAAGATCTTCCAACTTAGTTCGTATCTGTCCCACCAGACCCTTCCTCACTCCAGCCATGTTTTTTCCTCCATCAACTGTAACACATTGAAGCCGATTCCACTGAAGGTTATAGCTTTGCAAAGTTTTCTGCACTTCCATGAAAATGTCTTCTCCAGTTGTTGTTCCGTGCATGCTACAAACGGATGCCAACTTTTCTGTGATCTGAAAGTCCAATTTAACACCACGAATGAACACGAGAAGTTGTGACGTACTCGAGAGATCAGTAGACTCGTCCTGCACTAGAGAATACCACAAGAAGTTCTAGCTTTCTCACGTATCTGTAACACCATGTTTTCTTCAAGTTCTTCTGTTCTCCGCACAACTGAACTTGCTGAAAGGATTATACTTCCAAACAAATCGGCTTTCTCAGGACACAAGTCATTTGCTGCTTCTATCACACACTCTTTGATGAAGTTGCCGTCAGTAAACGGTTTTCCTCGCTTTGTCATCTTATGCACTATTTTGTAACTTGTACGAGTGACAGATTCATTTTCACCAAACATTCTCGTGAAGAGATTCCAAAGTACGTTTCATGAACTCAAATTTCTCAGAACGCAACTTTCTAGAAAACTTCAAATATGTTGACAGATGTTTTGTTTCATAGTGATGCCGAAGATTGTACTCTTTCAAAACGGCAACACTTTCGTTGCATATCATGTAACTAGCTTTCTGGTTGTTTGTTTCCACAAAGAAGTACTTTTCACCCCATTTTTCATTGAAAAGGTGACACTCAGCATCTACTTTTCTTTTCTTAGTAGCCATAACGATGGATAAAGAAAAGAGGATCTGAAAATGAAAAACAATTGTTTATTTCCACATTGAATAGTCTACCAAAAAAGTTTTAGAAAGATAATAATTTTTCAAAATGTTTTTGACATGTATATAAACATGACAAACTAAATGTAAACAGCTCATGACATTAAATTACGCAATTGGTTTAAAAGTTTTTTCCCGATAAGTTATTTGATTAAGCAATTTTTATAATTTGCCAAAGTATTTAAAATTTATTATGTAAGTTAATTAGAAGAGCTTTATAAAAAATAATTAAGATCATATTTAATAAAAATATTAAGAATCTTAATAGGCAAATATAGTACTAAGAATTTGATACTAATTTCATTAAAATCTTCGTTAATTTAATTAAGTCGTTTTAGCTCATTTGTAGCACAGTGCAGTGTTGGGCTGGATGAACTGATCTCGCAGGCCGGATCTGGCCCACGGGCCATAGTTTGGTGACCACTGTCTCAATAAATAGAGAAAAAAAATAAGAAAAATACTTAGAAGTTCAGTTATCTCTCAATAGATGGAGAAAAAATACTTGGAAGTTTAATTATCTCTCAATAGCCGGAGAAAAAATACTTGGAAGTTCAGTTATCTCTCAATAGATGGAAAACTTAATTAAATGACTTTATAACCAATGTGTATAAGTAAACGTGGCTTGAAAATAGTTTATAATTCAAAGTTTTAAATTACCAAAATTATTTTAAAAAATATTTAAAAAATCTCAATCTTCATTTTTCTGTGTTACATAATATGCCTAATCTCTGATTTTTTCACTTCAGAATATAACATCAAAAACAGACTTTTGCAATTTTCAACCGATTAGAAACATAAGCTATACATAATTAAAAGTAAAATTATAAAATTTGACCTTTTTACCTCCTTTATTTACTGAAATATCAATTAATTTGTTAAGCACACCAGAGAAGCCCCTCACCTTTGCTATTGGATTGTTTGCTAATCAATTTTATGAAGTTGATGGTCATGCTTATAACAATAGAAAAATTATTTTCCTCTTTATATCGAACTTTAAATTTTACATTGAGTTTTATTGTCGTAAGCCATTAGTCAAGGAGAATTGCTTGGAGTGTGTTGATCAGATTTGATGCTTTGTACAGTAACACAATTTTTAATCTGTTTATAGCTTACATAGAAAGTGGCTGATATGTTTTTGTGTGGTATCTCGTGTATGACCAGTTAAGCAGAAAAGTTATAACTGGATATTCTCGTACTTGGGTGTATACTTACCATAAATCTGCAACAGTTGAATCATAAATAAAAAGACAAGACACAGGTTTTAGGCAAAAATATATGTTCAATGACTCATACTTACCAATATAAGGAGCAAGTGATTGTGTGATTTTAAATAGGTGTAGGAATAGTAACATCTAATGAAGACTAATATATAAACTCACTCATGTTAGTATGTGTGCCCCTCCTTGTAACTCAGACTGAGTAAGATGAAACTAATAAATATAAATAACCCCAACTTAAGATACTCTCGCTTCAATAAAATGCACTAAAACCTCTTACTTGCATTTCACTAACAAAATAACTACTTAAAACGACTAACATTAGTAGAGCCAATGATCCAATAGCAATGCTTACCATGTAAAAGGAAATAAACTAAAATCCGTTCGCATATGGCAGACATAAAGAACTGAAGTAGAATTGAAAGCCTTTTGGCACTCTGTACACAAAAATGAAAATAACTAGTTGACATTAAACTTACCCATAAAAGGTGAATGCCTAATGTTGCACGGGAACTTTAGGAATTCGTCTTATATAAAATTAAAGAAAAACTACTAACCTACAGAACTATACAATTGTAATGCGAGAATTGTATTAGAGTTATGCTTAACAAATTAACTGAATAAAAGCACAAAATCTACAAAAGTGTCTGTGAAAAATCTGCTCTTCTGAGCCACCACACCTAAATATGTCAATAAATACTCAAGTTCCTGACACAAGAAAAC